GTGAATTTTCTCTAATTAGGGGCTTTGGCTGTAGTTAGAAATGCCAAAATATGCTTTTAGATCAAAATCAGTGAGGCATACAATTTTTTTTCATATTTTTTTAATGAGTTTTCTCGGAAGTTATACTAACTAAATAGAATTTCACCGGCGCGGCGACGTGGACGCGAGTAACAAAGGGTTAGCAAAATGTATTAATATTCGCCGATATTGTTAAGTTAATTGCCGATTGTTTTATAAGTCTCCCTTTCAATTTGAGAAAAATAATGAAAAAGAATGTAGTAGGATCGATCGCCACTATCAATGAGCGTTAATTGTGGTTGTTAATTGATCAGCAATGCACTGAGAGAAATATTGACATAACGCTACAAAACTTATTTCTAGCGCCAAATATCTCATCTCGTAAGGATGTGCAATTAGTTCAGGCAATTTTTTCTAGGGGAAATCGTCTTCAGAGTTTGTAAAATAGCCCAAGAGTATTTCTGAGGCTCAATATCAACCTTAGTTTCCGAACATTTTTTCCAGAACAGGATTTTTGAAAAAATGAAACTTTTCACACATTGTGTTCATAACAGGTGTATACACCCACCTTCAATCCAATAGTTCAGTCTTATAGCGTTTTCTCGTACACATAAACGTATATGACTTTATTCATTATACTCTAGTTTTTTTGCGACTTTAAAAAATAACGTTTCGGGCAAATAATTGCAAATAATCGAATTAAAAAATTTTTGATTGGTACGACGGCCATATTGGGCGGTTTGAATCCGCGCATTCCTGACATCTAGCAACGGTCCGCTCAAGTGACTACTTGGACCGACTTTACTAGGTTATATGGAAAACATGTGCAGTGTTGCCATATAATCATTAAAGGTTAGACCAACGAGAGTCAAGCGTGAAATTGAATAAAATATTGTTCACAATATTCATTGAAGAAATTTCCGAAAAAATTTATTCAACAATGAAAAATCCGAAAAAGTATAGCAATGCTAAGATTTTCAGCAAAACTGAAAACACGGTTAAATAAAAGTTGCCACGAAAAAAAAATTCCTCGTATCAGGTATACAATATTCCAAAATCAGGAATGTCTGTATTCCGGAATCCGGAATATTATATTCTGGAATCCGGAATAATATCAGAATAATATTCCGGAATGCGTAATATTTGATCCTCAATTCCGGAATAATTTTCCGGGGACTGTATTTTTTGTAAAAATATTTTTTTTTACTCTGGCGAATTTAAAGACCTTCGTATATCATCCATAATATTCTGGATGGCCAGATAGATGACCGAGGCCCCATTGCGCAGCCTTCCTTTTCAAGCCAAATAATTCAATAATAGTTCAGTATAGTGATGCCGCGATGGACTTCATGAGACAATACTTTGGAGAGATGGTCTCGGTCTCAATGAACATGGAATCTTTGTTTTTTTTTCGTTTTTCTCGCCTCAGTCTCCAAATACGCAGTATCGACTCCTCTCACGATGACTCCGAGTCAATTTATCTCATCTTGGTTTCAAGTTTTTCGTGTTTTTTAATGTAAAATCTCGGGTTTTGTCTCAGTTTGTCTCGTCTCGGACTTTTACATATAAACTCAAAAACTGAAACCGAGATGAGATAAATTGACTCGGAGCCATCACGAAAGGAGTCGATACTTCGTATTTCGAGACTGAGACGAGACTAAAAATTTGCGTATTCACTGAGACCGAGACAATCCCTCAAAAGTATTTATTCATGATGTCTCGTAAAGTCTCTCGCGGCATCACTAGTTCAATTAAATTGAATTGAAGATCTTCCTACTATAAATTCACATATATGGTAAGACGCCAAAATTCAAGTCTTGGCGAACATGGTTGGCGCAGGACCAGAAAAATCCCCAAATATAAATTTTCTTCAGACAAAGGGTACGTAATGTACACAAAAACCCAAAGTAGACATTTCCAAATCTGACTTTGCACTTACGCTGTGACAAAAACTGTCGTTCTAACCACGGGAGATAAAATAAAGGGCTTTTACCCGCGTGCTTACAACCCTCACTTTGGACTCGGGTACTCATTCTGCATGTGAGCACGAGTCCTACATTCCAGCTCCCCAGGTTAGGAATAAGGAAATGTGGGGCAAAGTGGAACGTCTGTCATCGGTGAAAATGCCAATTTTTCTGGTTATAAACAAAGATATCAAGAATTAAAGTGAACAAACGTTGTGCTTTGCACCATTTTCCTCTATACTATTCCGACTAATTAGACTATATTAAGTTATATTAACACAAAAAATTGAATACTTTGAATGTATACGATTACAATGCTTCTATTTGGAAGCAGGAAAATCGGAGGAAAAGTCTTACTTACAATGCCACAAGAGCTTCAAAATTATCGGGTATTTCTCGATAAGTTTCTTGCAAAGGAAAGAGTCAAGTCTTTCAGTTCGAAAAATTACAAGCGCGCAATAACACGAGGGATTTTTCTCGAAAAGTCGACGTCATATGTATGTAGCGAACCGTGGAGGAAACACCCTCTTAATTTCCATACAATCAGTATGCTCGCGACTGCGGTAGAAATAATTGTTCCTGTTACGAGAGTGTAAAAATTTTTGTGGAAAAACTGATCGATAAAATTAAGGCAGCCAACATGAAGGTTTATATCCCTAGGATATATGCGAACGAATCTGCCAATTCTGTATACGAAAAATTGCCTCCAAATTTTACAAGTTTGTTTTTTTTATGTTTTATCGGAAAGTATACTCCAAAAGGGGAAAAATGAGCGCAAACGGAGCTCTCTAACTCAATTATTGGCGGAGATATTGAAGATTAATTATTTTTCTCCTAAAAACTTTTTTTTTCAATTCTAATTACGAGCCACTATGGATAACAAAAAAAAATTGAACCCATAGATTTTGTTGGAAATTTTCTCAGCTTTTCGAAAAAAAATTGTTTTCTACGTATTTATGTATTTTGGCCTGGAAAACTCAAAAAGAAAGTTTCAAACGGTCGCTTGGGGTCATTTCCCACTCTTTTTTGTTCTTTATTTTTCTCATCGGAAAGTTCAGAAAATTTCCTAACAAAAACATATTTTTATTTTTGGTGCTTTCACAAACTCAGAGGTGAAATGCAGTAACATGAAATTTCTGGGTCACCATTTTGGTATCAGAATTAACCCTGAATTTTTGACTGTGCAGTATAGAAAAGATAGGTCGTATTGCAAAAAAAATCATTCAAGCATTAATACTTTGTTCAGTTTTCAATTTAAATCTTATAATTAACATGCACTCGATATACATTAGATCTCGATTCAGATCCATATCATGATTATGATGCGAATGGAGTTCATCAGAAGCAAAAATAAACTGAGTCCACATTTTAAATGTTCGGAAAAATTCAAAGATTTTGCATTCTAACAGCCTCTAATGGATGTCTATACTCTTGTACGGAGCTCTCAAAAAATTTTGAAAAAATTTGACATTTCATTTTGAAGTGTCCAGAAGCTCTATAAATGAAAATATTCGCCAAAAATATCATGAATCGTTGGATTTTCAAATTTTTATTCAGAAACTCCCGGCCGTGTACTATGTATAAGCCGAATTTTTAGTAAAACATGGCAACTTTGAGCTTGAATATATAATTGAGGGTAACACTGACCATAAAAAAATCTCACGGGACTTTTTTAAATATACAATCTAAATCATTCTTGATTTTTTTCAGATTTTTCCTAGATCTTTCAAATTTATCATTATGTCGATTTATGCTGGTGCATCGCCGCGCTTACGCCGCGACCAAGGGAATGTTAATCAAGAAAATTTGAGTTATGTTCATACTACTCGACGCTTGAACCATCTATGGTTTGATCTTAATAGGCGAGCACACGCCGATGGCTACTAAAGGAAACTACGTAACTCAGAAAACATTACCAAACTCAAGTGTCTCAAGATTTCGTTCTAAACTCAAGTATCTCAAGAATATTGATTGAAAGTTTGTATCTCAGAGGAGATGACAGAAACCAAGTATCTCAGAGAATATTCAAGACTACGTAACTCAGTAACTCCGATTAAATACCGGCTAATTCGCTCGATGCCTTTACCATTTTCATTTTAATTCCTTGGATAGAGTTCCTGTGGATATTTTCACATACTTCTTTGTTTGGGGCATATTTCTTATCGGTCGTCAAATGTCAAAAAACCAAACCTCTTATGGCTTTGCGAATATTTAATCAATTTAGTAATTGGTAAATTGTTGTCATCTCATTTCTTTCACATTAATTTTTCATGTAGTTGGGTAAGGAAGGGGTTGCTGAATGATTTTGAAATAACTCATTCATTTTATTTAATTGGTTCTTTGCCACTCTATTCATTAATATCTACCAGAAACTTTTCAATTATTGATATTAGTTTTTCGGCATTAGCGTTCTGTATGGGCGGGTAATTAGGGATCAGCTAATCCTCATCCTTAAAAGGTTGATAGGTTTGATTCACAGGCACCATGAACGATTTCCTGAAGCAACAAAAAACACTGCAACAATTTGGAAGCAAAGGATTGGTAGCTCTGACTTTTATCCATAAGTTACTAACGAAACTAAACAAAGATTAATCAGTGTTTCTGAATTTTCATTGAGATACTTGGTTTCTGTCATTCCCTCTAAAATACAATGTTTCAGTCAATACTTGTGAGATACTTGAGTTTAATACGAAATATTGAGATACGTGGTTTTGGAAATGTTTTCTAAGTTCCGTAGTTTCCTTTAGAAGCCAAAAAAGTAATTCTAAATAATCCTCCAACTAATAAGATGAAATGATGATTTGCCCCTTCGCGAATAATAAAAATGAGAGCTCCTGATATGAATTTGAAAAACTCCAAGATATTTATATGGGGTGAAGGGAAAAAGTCATTGATTTTTTCCCTACGGAAAAGAAAGGTACGAATATGGACTGCGTGGTTTTGGAACGAGACGAGAATGAGTAACCTTGTGACAGCATTTGTTTTATATCATGGAATTTATCGATCGCATGCCCTCACCTGGGACAGAAAACCAGCAACGTCGATGGCACTGTTGACACGAGGCCTCGAGGCTCTTGGCCACGCCATACCTCCAGTTCCACCAGTGCTGTCCAGGGAATCCACGCGATGGCTCGACCAGTGCAGATGCTGTAAATTTTATTCTTCTACTAATCTCTTTCGTAATAAACACCACCACACATATCTCAATTCTAATATCGTAAAACGACTCGAGTCGAAAAAATAAATCCCAGTTTATTTGTCAATTATCTCGGTAATGAGCACATTTAGACAAAAATTCAAATAATTTTTTTTGAAAAGGTCAGAATACAGTCCAAGAAAAGTTCTTTGATATTGTTTTCTGGCGTCACTGATTACTGAGATGATCCAACAATTAATACATGGGTCATGGAGACTCGACTCGTTTTATCTTTTTTTTTTTATTCTTGACATGAAATACAACCCTCACATTTTCATGATTGAAATGTGCGATCGGTTCTGACGTCTCAGCAAGACTCTCCGCACTTCGGCTCACCTTTACGAATATTTTTCGATTGTCAGTAATAATGCATACCTTTCTTTATTCTATCCTAAAGTACTTGTAGTTTCTAGCAGAGGAATTTAATGCGTCATTTTAGTTGACTATTTTACAACAAAAAATTGTAATAACAAATTAGCAAATATAGTTATAGTTTTTCTAATGTAAAAAAATACTCAGAACAATGTGCCGCACACAGAAGAAATAACTCTGTGAGTTTATTTTATACTTATTCTAGAATTCGTGGATCAGAATTGTTCTTGTATTGGAAGTATTGGAGATACGAAAAATTGACGATAAGGATGAGTTAATTTGTCAGCTCCTGGAACCGGTAGTTGAATGTAATAATACGTTATATTGGAGAGGTCTCGGGCGACTGATAACATTCGATTTATTGATTGAGGTCGAGGAGATAGCTTCAACCTTGGAACGTATGAGCTTTTAAAACATTTAATGTTTACATTACGCGCTAGAAGGATGAAAATCACAATTCGAGAAATAGTCAATAGGGAGTATTCAACAATTACGTTACGATTTCTTTTGACATTCTGCTTTCCAGTCACAAGCCGTCATAAACGCAAGACTCCCCCCTCCCTCGATTAATGTGAAAAATAAAATGGAAAATAGAAGTGGAAAGAAAAATCTGGAAAAAAATTGAATACAAGCGCCATCAATTATTTTCTTTATTAAGACCCGGTTGCACCAAGCCCTGTTCTCCAAATAAACCCCAAGGTAAAATTTATCCTCGGGGTCAATTATATCGTAAGGGTCATAATTTTTCAATATTTGACCCGAAGAATAATTTTTTATCTATCCTGTAGCCCCATTTAAATTAACACTGATTTTACCTTGGGATTAAATTTTATTTTTTATTCCTGGGATAAATTTGAGATACTCTCCCGGGTAAAATAATTCATCAAACATCCAAATTTACTTTTTTCTGATCTGACGTTTTCGTTACCCGAAGCTGCTGCAACCGGGCCTTAATGTCAATAAATACATATAACTTATAACATTGTCATCACAACATTAAGGTATTTATGACGTATTCAGGGGAGGTCGAAAAAAATTCAAGAAATTTTTGATTTGTTTTATATTTATTCTTTGATTTTTGCAAAATTCAGAATCAATGAATGAAATCAGAATGGATGAAATACAGGCATTATTCTAAAAATGCATTTTAACAAGAGCTCTTATGGGAATCCGGAACAAAATATGAAATTTTTTTAAAAAGTCGCCATTTTCCTGAAATTTCGCACTTGGATGGTGCTTACAGGAAGGAATATAAAAAAATCCAAGTGGCCTAGGAGAATTGTTTAGAAGGGATAATGAAAAAATCCATAAAAAATAGAAATTCTGCTTGCGCAACTTGAAATAGCGATAACGTCGAGGTTAGAAATCGTATGGAGGGGTAAGCGCGGCAAGTACGAATGGAGTTGTGATGATACATTTAACTATGGGAAGGAACATAACAGCTGAGTGAATCAATGCTGCCAACTTGTACCTCGAACGGCACGACGTTGTCACTTTTTCTATCCATATTAATTATTTCCCAATTATCCAAAACACAAGCTAGAAAAATAAAAGAAGGCTTGAAATATGTGGGACAAAATAGAAAAGTTATAAAAAAAATATTACGAACACAAAAATGGTCGAAATAGATTAAGAAATTATAATTGAAATATCATTTTTCTTTGTTCAGCGATTGGTTTTCTGTGAGAGAATAATAACTTCCCTTCCGTCTCACCTCCTACATGGCCACCCCGCCATAAATACCTTAAGAATTACAACTGACGACTACTGGGCGAACTCCTCCCCTCACCGTCACACATCGTTACAACATTCAAGACCCCCCCCCCACGCCCTTAATTGCGTGACGTAATTGTTGAATGTTCACATAGACATTGTTCTCAGCATAGATGAATCCTGGAGTAATGCTGAAAAACGTAATGCACGGAATTTAATTGAGTTCATTGTTTGATTGTTTTTTTCGTACCTCCAATGACTTTGTTCAACGTGAAATGGTGTGAACACCATCAACTTTATATAAGCATATGATTTGGCCATACTTTTATTCTAGTATTCTCGTAATACTATTAGAATAGATTGATTAATTTCGTGAAAATAAAATCACATGTGTCGAAGTGTTACAAGCGTGACTCCAAAAAACTTCTTCAAAAGTGCTGACAAGTGCCTAATGGTGATAATAAAGAAATTCAAAAAATTTGTTTTCTATTCATGTAAAGAGTAAAGTTATCAACTCGAGGCATTTTGTGCATTCATTGTCAGTCGAGATTTGTCTCAGGTAGTATATTGTGCCGAAGTTTAATACTGCATTATAATTCACAAGCGGACGCACCGTTTCCCGACATCAATCGACCCACGTGGATAGTCAGAGAATGATGTGACAACCAGTGAATTATTGCTAGTAAATCCGGAACATATATACTCACTTTGTTTCAGTCGATACGTGTTTTTTACGGCGGTTCGAGGCGTTAGAATTGACTCGAAAATTCCAATTTCCATGTTTGAATATTTGTTATAAGTAAAGAAATAAAAATCCTGATGCTAATTAAGGTAGTTTTTCACGTTTTATGTGACCCGACCGGTTCCAGACTTCTCTAGGTTTCAGCTGTTCGGTCGATCCCAGAATTTTAGTCTTCAGCTATTTAGATTTCTCCTCTATCGATCTGACATATTTATTCTCAATAGAAGGATATTTGGGAACTGAATATTCAATGCGAAGGTTTATGTGAAAATGACTCATTTGATATATCTTGTTTATTGGAAAAAGAAAAAATGAATTGTTCATTTATTTAGTGAATTCTCATTTGGAGACAGTAGGAAACAATAGACAGTAAGCCTAGTTTACAACTATAGCACAGATGTAGAATGACCGTCATTTTTCCTTTCGGTCAGATCAGACGTAAATGATCGGTTTCTGACCGGTTTTTGATCCTGACCGAATTTTGTATGCAAAATTACCGTTACAGTTGAGCTGTGTTAGATGGAGGAAAATTTTTGAGAAAAATTATCCTACCGTTCTATAAAAGTGTATGATGAGTCATCGTTTCCTCATTTCTATCCCGAAATTTAGTAAAAATTAATATATGATGATCAAATTCAAAAATGAATTGAATTGAATTGAATGATCAAAAATTACCGTGCCGGTAGAGTAAAAATTGCTGTACCGGCAGGGTAAAATTTACCAATCGTTCTAGAATTTTCGTTGTTATCTATATAAACATTATTAGGCTGGTAGGGTAAAATTTATTATGCGTCAGGATAAAATTTCTCTAACGTAAAATAAAATTTGATCATCATATGTTAATTTTTACGAAACTTTGGGATAGAAATGAGGAAACGGTGACTCATCATACACTTTGATAGAACGGTAGGATAATTTTTATCAAAAATTTCTCTCCATGCAGACGTGAGCCAAAATAAACAAAAATCGTCTATACACTGTGTACCACGACCGATTCTTTTACTTCGAGGGTATTGAAGAGGATGCATTTTGAAGTGGAAAGTTTCCTTTTCACTTTTGTATATGAGCACTTTTTTTTATCGGTCCTTTTTTTCTTTTAATCTGTTACTACTAATGTCTGGGGCGGATATTTATTTTTTACAATTGTTCAAATTTTTTCCCCTTTCTTTTCTTTTCAGTACGTTTGATGCTCACATCCCGAGTAGAAATTTCGTCGGTTTATCATCAGTTACCTATCAGTTGCAACCGACATGGTCACCGGTTCCACATAGGTTTCAACCTACAAGGAACTCACGGAAACGTCACGCAGTTATTTATATACGTAGAAAAAGAAAAAAAAATTACATTTTCGGTGAGTGGTCACCCATCCAATTCCGAACCGTATTCGATGTTACTTAACTTTGATGATCGTCTGCTGTGCTGAAGTCCAAGTCCACTATCCTGTAATTCTTGTGAATATAACATTCCGATATGCCAGATAAGGCGAGGATTCGCATTCTTTGACGATTGACTTATGATTATTATGCCTAAACCTTAATTCTGACCCTTATTTTTTACCTTTATTTCTGACCATTATTGCTGGCTCTTATTAATGAACCTTATTCCTGACCCTTGAGACCCTCAATTTTGACTTTCCATTCTGACCCTCGTGACTCTTATTTCTGACGTGTATTTTTGGCTCTAATTTCTGACCCTCGTGACCCTTATTTCTGACGTCTATTGTTTATCCCCCTTTCTGACCCTCGTGACCCTTATTTCTCACGTCTATTGCTTATCCCAATTTTTGACCCTCATGACCCTTATTTCTGACGTCGATTGTTTATCTCCATTTTTGACCCTCATGACCCTTATTTCTGACGTGTATTTTTGACTCTCATTTCTGACCCTCATGACCCTTATTTCTGATGTCTATTGTTTATCCCCATTTTTGACCCTCATGACCCTTATTTTAAACGTATATTTTTAACTCTCATTTCTGACCCTCGTGACCCTTATTTCTGATGTCTACTGTTTATCCCCATTTTTGATCCTCAACCCTTATTTCTGATGTGTATTTTTCACTCTCATTTCTGACCCTCGTGACCCTTATTTCTGATGTCTACTGTTTATCCCCATTTTTGATCC